CAAGGAGAGCTGACTCCATGCACCCTGGAACGGGCTTCATTACAGGTTACTTGGGTGACCTCCTGTGGAGGGAACAGTAGGCGCGGGCTCTGTCAGGCAACGTGCTACGGATGGTTCCTCAACCTTCAGACATCAGCACTGGAACTAACGCATCACTTGGAGTATCTGGGTTTAGGCCGACGCGTTTTATCCTTCAGGCGCTCCGGTCTCAGATTCAAGCTCTCCAGTCTTGGGAGTCTTCCGGCTCTCTGCTTTTTTCCGGGAGAGTCTTGGTCCTGATCGTCTCCAGTCCAGTTTTCCTCTGCACCATGACATTCTACTAGTCCCTGAACAGACGCAGTCATTTGGCCTGGCGGCTCAGAAGTCTGGTGTTGGATTTGGGAAAGTCCTTCCTTCCCCTCTTATGGAAGACTCTCGGGAAGGATGCCAGCCAGCCCTAATCCCTAAGCGTATACTGATTGTATTACTGACGGTAATGTGTCTTTGGAGCTGTAGATGGCGCTGTAGGGCAATGTTAGTCTATGAGCATGCGTATCTATGATTTGACGTATTCGCACGTCGAATGTTCTTCAGAGCAAGCAAATCCTAATTCCGCATTCCTCAACACCTCAATACCAATACGCCGGGGGCGGCGGCGTACCTCTACCATCGGGGGGGAAACCAGAAGTCTCCCCGAGGCAAATAAGACGATGTCCTGGGCAGGTGTATTCCGGCCTTGTCTGCCACGTACATTCGACATGAATCTTCCTCCGCTGACAGAGGAGGGGTCTCCATACCCAGAGGTGTTCCAGGATCTCTGTCACAGGGGGGGCACTAGAATGTGGACCTCCTGACCTCCAGGTGCAACAACTAACTGGACCGATCTCCTTAGGTACAGGGATCCTCCAGGGCAGTGTGTCTCAACCATTGTTTAGTCACAGAACCCTTTATAAGTATGCAAAATCTCCCGGCATGTGTGGCCCCTCCAAAATCCCACATAGAGGTCTGGAATGGATGTGTGGCCCCTCCAAAATCCCACAGAGAGGTCTGGAATGGATGTGTGGCCCCTCCAAAATCCCACATAGAGGTCTGGAATGGATGTGTGGCCCCTCCAAAATCCCACATAGAGGTCTGGAATGGATGTGTGGCCCCTCCAAAATCTCACATAGAGGTCTGGAATGGATGTGTGGCCCCTCCAAAATCCCACATAGAGGTCTGGAATGGATTTTTAAGGAGGGACCCCACAAAACAAACTCCCCAAAAATGTTGTTCCCCTCTTTTACATCAGAACCTTCCTTTCACAGAAGAAGCCGGCGCCATGGAATAGAATGACGCTGAGGGAGGTTCTCCTAGAGGAAGCGGCGCATGCTGTGGTGGCTGAGCGAGATCAGGAGGGATTTATCATCCTACTTCCGCCACTGCCAGGCTCCGCGCTCCACCTAAAACTGGCCGGAACATTATAAGCAATGCTCACTTTGTAAAAGACGAATTGTGGAACTCTGGAGGCTCCGGACTGGTAGATTCAAAGATGGCGGCTCCTGATTTTGCCGGTCCAATGATATGAATATTATAAAGACTTTCAAGTCATTATTACTGCAAATAAATACAATTCCAGAATCGATTCTTTAGTCTCAGAAGCTGAACTGGGCGGAGTTCATAAATAATATAATATGGGGCTGTGATCGGGGGAATGCGAGCTGCGTGTGCGTCTCCCTACCTTATGGGAACTGAAGTGGATCCTCAGCCTGGGGTCCAGAGTGGGCTGATGTGCTGTGATGGAGCTCCATCCATATGTGCAATGCTGGTACAGCTCCCCTGCAAACCCTGTAGAGGAGCCAGAATGTGACGTCACTCCGGTCCTGGCTCCTCTACAGGACACATGAGGGAGCTGTAAGCAATGCATGTATGGATGGAGCTTCCTCGCAGCTATAGCTCCACCTCAGGCTGACACTCGGCATCGGGCAGCTTATGAATGGCTGCCTGGCACGAGAACTGACGGTGCTGCGCTGGGGGGAGGCTGAGGAGCCTACAATAGTAGAAGGTATGTGGCGACCCGAGAACCAAGAGTCTACACCAACCATCATGGAGCCACCAGATGTGAAGCAGCTCACTTCATGGTACGGCCTGACTGCCGTGCACATCCCAGGCGGACTTCCTCATCAACATCCGGATTGTGGAGAAGACACCCAGAAGTGATAAACTCTCATCCTCAGGTGGGGGACATCGGACATAGACCTCCCAGTATTCAACACCAAGCTAGATACAGTTGTTGCCAGGACCAGTGACCCGCAGGCCTTCACCGTGGATCCATGTGGGATCGGTTCAACGTGATCTGCATCTTGCCTATTCGGCAGGATCGAGATGGGGGGCATTCTGGTGATCCCTATTGCACCGAACTGTCCCAGGAGGTGGTTCTCTGACATGGTCAAACTCCTGGTAAACTCGCCCGTGGGCCCTCTTGGATCATCCAGGCCTTCTTCCCCAGGGCCCGGTCTACCATCATGCTTTTCGGTTACTGGCTTTAACTGTTGAAGCCCAGACCTGAGAGATGGAGGCCGAGACCTGAGAGATGGAGGCCGAGACCTGAGAGATGGAGGCCACGACCTGAGAGATGGAGGCCTATCGGATTTCATCATCCCTACGCTCTTAAAAGCTAGAAAAGAAACTTCTCGCAGAATCTACCATGGCTCTTTAAAGTCGTACTTAGCTTGGTGTAAGACGTGGAGACTCCATTCCAGCATGTTCTGCATTGGATGGATCCGTCTTTTCTCCAGTCTGGTCTGAATCCGCATTTGGCCAGGAGTACCATCAAGGGTCAAGCCTCAGCCTTAGCGGTTCTTTATCAGAGGCTGCTTGCCTCTTAGGCAAGGCCGTTATACAGGGTGTCACTCACATTGTTCCTCCAATGGCAAGACAAGTTTCTAAGTTGATGTCCCTTAAAGGAGAACTATGAGGGGGCGAGTTTCACTCAGCCTCATAATCTGAGCCGACGTGTTACAATGAGACTGTCACAGGTCGGCTCAGTAGATCGGGAAGTGAGGGAATCCAAAATCCCACATAGAGGTCTGGAATGGATGTGTGGCCCCTCCAAAATCCCACATAGAGGTCTGGAATGGATGTGTGGCCCCTCCAAAATCCCACATAGAGGTCTGGAATGGATGTGTGGCCCCTCCAAAATCCCACATAGAGGTCTGGAATGGATGTGTGGCCCCTCCAAAATCCCACATAGAGGTCTGGAATGGATGTGTGGCCCCTCCAAAATCCCACATAGAGGTCTGGAATGGATGTGTGGCCCCTCCAAAATCTCACATAGAGGTCTGGAATGGATGTGTGGCCCCTCCAAAATCCCATATAGAGGTCTGGAATGGATGTGTGGCCCCTCCAAAATCCCACATAGAGGTCTGGAATGGATTTTTAAGGAGGGACCCCACAAAACAAACTCCCCAAAAATGTTGTTCCCCTCTTTTACATCAGAACCTTCCTTTCACAGAAGAAGCCGGCGCCATGGAATAGAATGACGCTGAGGGAGGTTCTCCTAGAGGAAGCGGCGCATGCTGTGGTGGCTGAGCGAGATCAGGAGGGATTTATCATCCTACTTCCGCCACTGCCAGGCTCCGCGCTCCACCTAAAACTGGCCGGAACATTATAAGCAATGCTCACTTTGTAAAAGACGAATTGTGGAACTCTGGAGGCTCCGGACTGGTAGATTCAAAGATGGCGGCTCCTGATTTTGCCGGTCCAATGATATGAATATTATAAAGACTTTCAAGTCATTATTACTGCAAATAAATACAATTCCAGAATCGATTCTTTAGTCTCAGAAGCTGAACTGGGCGGAGTTCATAAATAATATAATATGGGGCTGTGATCGGGGGAATGCGAGCTGCGTGTGCGTCTCCCTACCTTATGGGAACTGAAGTGGATCCTCAGCCTGGGGTCCAGAGTGGGCTGATGTGCTGTGATGGAGCTCCATCCATATGTGCAATGCTGGTACAGCTCCCCTGCAAACCCTGTAGAGGAGCCAGAATGTGACGTCACTCCGGTCCTGGCTCCTCTACAGGACACATGAGGGAGCTGTAAGCAATGCATGTATGGATGGAGCTTCCTCGCAGCTATAGCTCCACCTCAGGCTGACACTCGGCATCGGGCAGCTTATGAATGGCTGCCTGGCACGAGAACTGACGGTGCTGCGCTGGGGGGAGGCTGAGGAGCCTACAATAGTAGAAGGTATGTGGCGACCCGAGAACCAAGAGTCTACACCAACCATCATGGAGCCACCAGATGTGAAGCAGCTCACTTCATGGTACGGCCTGACTGCCGTGCACATCCCAGGCGGACTTCCTCATCAACATCCGGATTGTGGAGAAGACACCCAGAAGTGATAAACTCTCATCCTCAGGTGGGGGACATCGGACATAGACCTCCCAGTATTCAACACCAAGCTAGATACAGTTGTTGCCAGGACCAGTGACCCGCAGGCCTTCACCGTGGATCCATGTGGGATCGGTTCAACGTGATCTGCATCTTGCCTATTCGGCAGGATCGAGATGGGGGGCATTCTGGTGATCCCTATTGCACCGAACTGTCCCAGGAGGTGGTTCTCTGACATGGTCAAACTCCTGGTAAACTCGCCCGTGGGCCCTCTTGGATCATCCAGGCCTTCTTCCCCAGGGCCCGGTCTACCATCATGCTTTTCGGTTACTGGCTTTAACTGTTGAAGCCCAGACCTGAGAGATGGAGGCCGAGACCTGAGAGATGGAGGCCGAGACCTGAGAGATGGAGGCCGAGACCTGAGAGATGGAGGCCACGACCTGAGAGATGGAGGCCTATCGGATTTCATCATCCCTACGCTCTTAAAAGCTAGAAAAGAAACTTCTCGCAGAATCTACCATGGCTCTTTAAAGTCGTACTTAGCTTGGTGTAAGACGTGGAGACTCCATTCCAGCATGTTCTGCATTGGATGGATCCGTCTTTTCTCCAGTCTGGTCTGAATCCGCATTTGGCC